TAGAAAAAATTCTGTTAGTCAGTTAACAAAATGTTTCTTAAGTAGACTATTTTGAAACAAAATTAATAGTTTATAGATTATTTTGAAAACAAAATTATTTTTTTGACTAAATTGAAATAAATTATATAATTAATAGATTATTTATTGAATTTATCCGCGATTTTATAAAGAGATTCAACATTATGATGTTTACTTTTTTTCTAAATTTTGTAGGGTAGAAAAGTGAAAATTAGATTGTTCTAGTACTTTAAATGTCAACATTTTTTATAAAATTATTCAAATATTTTTAATGAATTTTTTTATGTATTATGTTCATTAAGAGTATTTTTTTAATAGAAATTTATTAATGATATCTTAATTTTTTTTATTATCAATCTTCACATTTTAATTAGTAGAACATCTTAATTTTCCTTAATTCCTTTTGAGTATTTGGTTTAGTTCTTAAAAATAATTGATAATTGTGTTATTAGTTGATTAATGATAAAAAAAGTTAATATTTATTACTTAAGAAATTAAAATCAATATAATAAATCTATGTTTATGAAAAAATATATTGATTTGTGTGAATTTAAGAATATGATTTATGATGATATCCCAGCCGCAATGCTCCACATTAAAAATTCAAGTTTGGTTAAATATCAATTTTGGTTCCTTCACTTTAAGATTTTATATAATTTTTATTTTATAATTTTTTATGTATTTTTTTACTCATTTTATTCATAAATTTATTAAATATATTTAAATATATATTTTTAAAATTTTTTTAATTAAATTAAAAAAATATCAATATACATAAATATTATAAGTTGAGGTACAAGAAAAGAATTACCAAGAACAAGCGTGGTTTGAGGAATGTTGATGGAAGCGAATGAGATGGTAAGAGCAGTCCTCTTCCTTTGTGGAATCGCACTAGAGCAAGATTTCCCGCTTTTTAATATTTTCTTCTTCGAAAATACTGAGGAATATCTTGGGTCATGTCCAATTAATTCATGAAGCCCAGAATGTAGTGGATATACGATATTTGGGCTAAGTGGATATACAATATTTGGGCTAACATTGCGTTTGTTATTTTTCTTGCACATCTTATAATATAGGTATATTTAATTTATGAAAAGAATATATATCACTTTCGATTTT